CGATGTGATAAGTAAGTTATTCCGCCTTGTCGTAGCGTTAGCAATGCTATCCAATGCAGGCAAGCCATCGCCACTGAATGTTTAAGCTTCTTAGACTTTTCATAATTTCGCAGGCTCGGTACTTTTTTTACCTCTTCTCACTGTTGTTAGAGCAGTTGTTCAAGAATGTATCTAACAGCAAGTAACCTGCTCTTCTCATTTTTACAGTTTTTCATTGTGTTCTGCTTGAATATCTGCATTTTTTGGAATTATATTATAGTACAGTGGTACATAAACAGCATTACATATGTACCGAAAATCCCCAAATTAAGATAATTATTTTGACTTTTAACTTCTAGAATACCGGGTGCTGTTTTTAAAAATGATTTGGGAGTCCTTAAATGATATTTTGCAAAGTAGTATAAAATGTTCTTGAACTTGTTTTATGAAAAACCGAAACGAAGCTAGCAAATCTTAGTTAGTAAGTATTAAGTTTGATCCAGACCACGTTTTGGAATTTGCCCACAATACTTCGAATATTCGAAAGAATTAGAATGCACTCTTTTCGATCATAATATTTTCACATTGCTTGTAAACATTTTTGTAGGTTTTATGTTTGGCCAGAACATAGTAACCACAGGACGCCTTACCCGCGTTGAGGCACACTTTGCTTTTCTACAAACACCTCATGGACGCGTATTCTGCCTTGAAAGTCCCAGAACAGGACCAATATCGAATTTTGCAATTGGAGACGAGGTTGACGTTATGATAGTTCCACAGAGGGAGACGAGCGGATGCAAATGGATGGCAATAAATGTATGGATCTCATGGACTTTCATGTATTTCACCCAATACTTCCGGCTTATAAATTCGGCGATGTGGTAAAGCATTAAATATAGAATATTTATTTTCAAGATTCGACACTCCGGAAGACAAATAGAGTTTGGCAGGGGTAGTCCTGTTCCATATCTAGGATATGCAACTGCTTTTCCTCAAATACCTATTGCATCAAGACAGATGGGGGACAGCCGGCCTCCAAGTACCACTTCAAACCAAAATTTGCCTTATTCTAGCACAGAATCCAATATTGCTAATGATGAGGTGAGTTTCAGTAATCTGCTTTAGTTGCATGTGTCTATACGCACCTACTAATTGCAGAAAGTAGTGGTCACCGAGGTTCTTCAAAAGTTTGCACTTGCTAGTAGCGACACTTTTGGCAAAGTTTACATACCCTGTGAAGCGTTTTCAATGAACTCCGTCCAACTTGACCAGTATCTGGAAAAAGGTAGGCAAGAGCAAAAAACTTTTGCTTGATGTTATCCTTTGAGAAACTGCAGTCTCAAGGAATTGCTTCATATCTATATATTTATATTTCACAGCTAGATTTCAAATCATGTTAATAAGCACAATTTAGTACTAAATGCATTTAGGAGATAAAGTAATAGTGACGTTACGAGCTCAAAACGATCCGAAAAACTACGGCGGTTGTAGATTTTTTGCATCAACGGCAACGAGGATAAGGAAGGAGGGTGAACAAGATGTTGGTGCGTTGCATTTTTTCACTGCATTTTATCTCTATAATCCATCTCTTGCCTTCAACATGAAAAGTCCAAGACTCCAAATTGAAGCCAATTTTATGTGAAAAGATCTGAAAGAAGAATTGCCTGCGGGAGGAGGACTCTTGCCTATGAATAGTTTGCTACGCAAATCTGAGACATTTCGCGCAATGATGAAAACAGTAAAGTAACGTCATCGACGCATTCTTCATAAGCGCAGAGCGGTATATTACTAAGGAAAGGCTTAATTTCTCTTTTGGAAAACTTGAGCAAATAAGGTATGGCATTTTCTACTTTCCTAATATCGAGATTGGTGATGTATATCTATACGCTCTCGCTTTTTCCTTCATTACATTCTTAATTGAAAATTTGTGCTTGCAGCACGTTTCCCTTCTCTCTTGCTCGTCTTTAAAGTAATATTCTTAGAATATTTGATGAAGTATCGCTTTTGCTAGTTAGATATGCGTGATAAAGTTGTGCGCAACTGTGCTTCATTTTTCTACGACAAATTCGTTAATTCTAGCTATTCTCTTGAATGTTAGCTTAGAACACGGTTGATCGGAAATATCCAGGAGATTAGCTCACTTTTGTTGCAGGC